TTAGAGGGTGGAGATGGATGGCAGGAGAGAGATCACGTGATCATTACCTGTTAGGTTCACTCCCTCTGGGGCACCTGGCATTGGCCACTGTCGGTAGACAGGATACTGGGCTGGATGGACCTTTGGTCTGACCCAGTTCGGCCGTTCTTATGAAAACAGGGCATGCAGAGGAGACACTGTATGGAGCTGTGATCCTGATAGAAATAGAGTAAAAGGGTGTTTGTGTTAAAAGCAAAGGCCGGGTTGTAGCGTGGCTTACTAAGGGGTGAAATTTGCCCCTGTGCTGCAGGCCAGCACCAGGGGTGAATTTCACCCTAGAGTGAATGAGAAGAGTGAAAAATGTATTAAACTGAAAGGGCAATAAACACTCAAGCTGTACAAAGATGGTTGAAATCTATCTCAAGCAGGCTTCTACTACACTCAAGTGAGAGAAGGACTTAGATTTCAGACTGCCTTGCCAAGAAAGTTTGCAAATAATTGAAAGGCTAGACTGGAAAAGAACAATGCTCGACTCCTGCTATATTGAGGACTAGTTTTCAAAGCCCCCGAATCTGAATAGAAACCCAGGACCACCAGTAAAATGAGATGAGAAAGAAACGTCAAGGTCAGAAAACGACTCAGAACATTGGTGTTGGAAGGTTCTCTCTGGATTGGTTGATATTATGGAATTTGTCTTCCACCTGGAAGATGTAAATACTGAGGGACAGATTCTATCATCCACTCTCACACCTAGCAGTTGAGTCCTATTGATTTGGATGTTTAAGAAGAGTAGGGGGTGGCAGCATCAGACCCTCACTCATAAGACATCGCTTGCAAGGGTAGAAACAAATGCAGTTGAGCGCCACAAAACCTCAGTTTAGAAAGTCTTTAACGTTCTGGAGGCGAACCGCAAAGATGTTGCTGATAATGAAAAGCTTCGTAAAAATGGGGGAGGACGGACGGGGACCAAGAGAATGATTTGAAAAGGTCACCTTTAAACTAATGTTTATGTGCAATCAATTTCTGTGCAAACATCCCCAAAAGTTCCCCTTTGAGTTCAGCCTGAGCATGAGAAGGGGAATCTCTTGGAAAAGTTCTGCAGGAGAGAACCCACCAGTTAAGGACAGAATGGATCTTCTATAGCACAAACACCATAACCATGGGCTGACTCACCCAGGCAGAGAAACCATGAGATTGGTGCTAACAACCTGATGCTCCTATCCCCCTGGTACAAACATGGAATCATTCCATTGCAGTCAGCGAGTTTTATACCAGGATCAGGCCCATCAGTTTAAAACAACAGCTGGATATTTTTCACCTTTTGAAGTTATCCTGTTAAAAAATCTTTGCAGTTCACTTTTCAGAAAGATATTTACTTAGTAGTTTTTTAAAGCATTTAAGCTCTGAGACACAAAGTATTTAAAGCACACATATAATACAGTGCTAGGGCTACCAACACCTTAAGCTGAAATATACAGTCGTTCTGGCCAGGAACCAAGACAAATTTTCCTTGCCCCTAACCCAAAAATGTCATTGGGTTCTAGCCCAAAAGCATATGCTGTCCAAAGCGCGCTGAAGACCACCAGTCTGGATTGCTGATGGCCTTCCCCAGGGCAGCCAGTTTCAGTTTCCAGTTTAAAACTTTCCTATGCTTTAAATGTGTGAAAGAGGGATTTTGATACGTTGTCCACCAAGAAAATAATTATTTTAACAAAAATAACATACACGAGAAGGTTCAAATAAACGTCTTATTGTGCTGTGTGCGTGTCTCCTGCCAGTCCTTGCTTTTAACCTATGCAATGGGTTGGAGGCATGTTATTCAGCCCTGCAAAAGTATGGCACAGCACCACCCTCTGTCCTTTGTCTGGAGCTGTGTGGGCACATTTCCTAAGGAAGAAGAGGGTTTGTTCCTGCAGTGTGCCAAGACACACGCACCAGCTCCAGCTGACCCAGAATTCGGAGACAGGCTGGCTGGCCGCCTCTGAAGGGGCTTCCCAGGAACTGTTTGGATTCATGAAACACAACGTGCTGATGTTGTGCCCTCTAATGCCAGAAGCACTGCTCTCCTCCTGTACGGCCATTGCCAATACAGCCTCCTTGGAGACAGGACAGTGGCACGTTCCGAGTGTTCCCAGGCCACCATGAGGGTAATCAAAGAGAGCATGTCCCAAAACAACCTGCTGTCAGCAGGGCTGCTTTGATCTAGCCATTTTTTATTCCAGGGTAATTTAGTCTTTAGGCTCAGCCCAGGAATAGCCCCAGGAGGCAACGTGCCACCTCTCAGACACAGTTCTGCCTGGCGCCACCAGTCGCTGGCTTCCTGTTTTCCCTATGCTGGCTGGTATGTTGGCTCCACCCATTTCCTGCCCACCTGCTCTGGTGGGCGGGAGATAAACAAGCACCTACTCTTGGGGCCCCAGACTCAAGATGCAGTAGCCTTGCAAGGCGGAAGGCTGGTTCTTACTCCCGTGTGTAAGTGCGTAGTTACAGTCTAGCTCTAAATGTTTAGGGTCCACCCTTGCTCCCTATGAAGTCAATGGGAGTTTTCCTACTGACTTCACAGGTAGCAGAATCAGGACCAGGGAGAGGAGAATTTCTGAAATTTGATCAGTTGGGCCAGTGGTTCCCTTCTCTTCCTTAATCTCCTTCCCCATTTTGGACTTGCACTCTGTTTCTCAAGCCACCCCCTGGCCTCACCATTATGTGCCTGGCAAGTTTTCCAGGGATGAGTATTAAATTTGGAGTCGGTGCCAATGCTACTTAAACTATAGACAAAACCTGGGTTAAGTCAAACAAGAATGGGGGTCTGATCTTTGGTGATAATATTCACTAAACCTTAGATGCTACTCTAGTCCATGCATGGTAAATGAACTCAAGACAAAATATGGATTTCTGCTTAACAGGAATGAAAATTCAGCCTTCGTAAACTGACATGAACATAACGTAGTATCACCCTTCCGAATTATTTTTAAAAGCACTACATGGATTTACTAACACTGAAATTCACCATGAACCAGCCCCTGGGGGTAAAGATACCATTTTATTTTACAAAACAAATGTAAGTCATTCCCTTAATCTTTGGAAGTGTGCCTATATTGCAGGAGGAGCGGGGTTCAGAATGTTTTCTTCAGAAAGAAATAAAGAGAGACGTTGATCCCCAGGAAAATCTGCTGTGGCTACTGTACAGAGTCAATGGGCCCACAGAAGAAAGACTGTCATGAAAACAGCAGTGACAGGAACATGCTTCCATGTGGTATTTCCTGAGCCCAGGTTGTGAACCGCGGTATCACCTTTGCTTTGCTGATTCAAAAGTTGTTTGTTTGAGGGACCGTCATCCATATCCAAATCATAAGCCAGCTCTGAAAAGGAGAAAGAGAAAGATTGTTACTGAGCACAGCGTACCAACATCTGGCCTGACGCTCTGTATGGATTCTATATGATTATGGGACGGCCTAGAGGTCCTCACTGGGATCGAGGCCCCATTGTGCTGGGTGCTGTACAAATACCCAGTGAAAGAAAACATATGAACTCCATTTTTCAGATGGGGAAGAAGTGCAAAGAGATTAAGTGACTTGCCCAAGGTCATGCAGGAATTGAACACACATCTGTTGAGCCCTACTCCAGTTTGCGAACCACAAGGCCGCCCTTCCCCTATGGAAAACTCCCTGTAGTTAGGGATTCCGCCGGATGCTCACACGGGGTGAAATCCACCTCTGTGCACAAGGCCAGCACAGATTTATGCTCTGCTCAAGGCTCAAGACAAGGCGTAAGGGGGACCTAAGCGGCAGCTAGGCCCTGAACTAGTTCTCAGCTCGATGGCGGAGGTCACCCGTTGAAAACCTGCATAACAGATGTTAATCTCATACCGGGCCCAGCCATGCAGAGTTTTGGCAGCATATCTGGCAACATTAATGTAACATCTCCCGCAGCAGCCAGGGTCTCAACGGGTGGGTACCACTCAGCGCTGGTTTCATTTTGTTCCCGTTGGATTTTTTTTTTCAGGGGTGGGGGGGGAAGGTTACCACAGATGTGAATGGGAGAAGAGCTGGGCCAATGCTGGGCACACTTGAAAATACCACCCAATGTGAGCTTCTCACATACGAGAGCTTTAATATCCTTTGTTCTTCCCACCACGGGGCGTTAGAAGCATTGATCCCTCCATGTTTGCCCAGTGCTTTCTGAACGTACGTGCCAAGAACGTTTGTCCCTGTGGGAGTCGGGGGCTGCGGATGAGGAGGGTGTCACTGGAGAGCTATTTCCAAAGAAAATCAGCTGGGCTTTGATTAAAACAAAAATTGCGTCTGGCTTCCACACCGCCCAAGTTTGCAGAAGTGATGAAGAAATCCCAGTCACGCTAGTTCAAAGCAAAAATCCAGCATACGGCCGATGCACCACTTATGTCCTATTTGGAGAGCTTAAGCAGGATGGAAGTGGTGCACTGCTCAGGCCTTGCCCAGGGGTGAATTTCCCCCCCCCCCTTTTCTTTTTTAGCTTTAAAATACGCGCTCTCTGACACCTTTCATGCACCTGTTACGTTGTCTGCATGCATTTTCAATGACCAGATGCAAAGCAGGACCTAGTGTTGTAATACAGGAACCTCCAGACTAACCACCTCCCACTCAAAGGATGGGGAAGAATTCTTCTCAAGCCAATGTCCCATGTCAAAGAAAACCCTCTTCAAATCTCGGAGACACCTGCGCAGCTCCAACTGCTGTCTGGTAAAAGCGCCTGTCCCCTGACAGTGGTTGCAAAGTCCCGTCGAACAGTAAATCCTAGATGCCGGACTTGCAGTGAAGAGACAGAGGGAAAGAACAACAACAAAGCCAGACAGAACAACCCGAACAGGGAACATTTCGCAATACTTGGCTAGAGAAGGAAAAGCAAAGGCAGTTTTTGGCCTGCATCGACAAAAGCCTCTGGAACCTAGAGCCCATTTGCAGCAATGGAGAACCAGGCCTTCAGTGCGAAGGAGACGTGGAGTTTTCTGTGCAAAGTTTCCCCAGTTCGTTTTTTTCTGCTTTGCATTTTTGTTGTTGCCTTTTCCCTCCATCTCTGCGCTTGGGGCCAAGCCTCCCACGATCTACTGTCCACTGCGAGCCAATTAACCCATCGCTAGGGAACACTGATTTGCATTGTCCCATTTCGTGTCACTAGAGGCGGAGTCCCACTGATTAACACCGGCGGAGACTCTGGCCCACAATCCATTCAGTGGATTGGCTCAGTCCCCTAAAACAGGGTCAGTTTGGATCACCACTTGGGCAGACCAAGGCACTTACTGGCTAGTGTCAAAACACTCCCCCGCCCCCCTTGAGAGAGGAGCCAAGTGATTAAAACACTCAAGCAAAAAACCCAACCCCATCAGCCTAATAAACATCACGGCCAAAGCAGTGACAATATGTCTTAACAATGTACCCACACACACAGCAAAGCAAAGCAGAAAGACATTAGCACGGCAAGTGAGTCAATCATCAAAGGAAATAATAATCGACAATTATTGAAAGGACACACACCCACGCACACACACACCCACACGCACGCGTACGCAAACGCCAATTGTCAGTCTCTCTAACTCAACCAAGAGATTCCCACTGATTGCCCCCAAATCGTCTTCTCCCGCAGTCTTCTTTTCTATATGCTCTCTTGCTCCAGAGAGCTGAATGCAGACTCAGCAGCGTGTGACACAAGCAGAGTTGCGATCCTGAAACTGATAGGCAGATAAAGCCCATCTGTGCCCTGCAAGAATAAAACTTCCCTCAGCCTTGCAGCTTTAAGGATTCCGGCCCTTGGCAGACAGAGAAATGGGAGATCGCACCTTTCACCTTTAATAGTTCAAATTTATCCCAGGTCAGTAGTGACCAAAAATTGTTACTATAGGATGACTCTTTGGTGACCTGTGTGGAACAAAATGGTCTCCGTTCAGGTCTCAATGGAAAGGCATCTGCATGATAAAATCCACAAGAACTCTGGCAGTCTCAGCAGACAGGCCAAATATATTTATTTGTATTACCACAGCGCCTAGGAGCCTTGCTCATGGACCCAGTCCCCACTGCGCTGGTGCTGTACGAACACAGAGCAAGAAGATACTCCCTGCCCCAAATGACTTACGATCTATGTATAATGCAAGAGACAACCGCTGGACAGGCAGACAGACCAATGGGAGAGTACGAGTACGGTATCAGCGATAGGAATCTCACCACACGAGTGGCCTAACCGTTGTCAAGTTTTTTGTAGGCTTCAGGCAAAGCAGAGTTTTAAGGAGGAATTTGGAGGAGGCCAAGGAGTAGCTTGGTGGATGTTTATGGGAATCACCTCCCTGTCAGGAGCAGCAGCAGGGGAGAAAGCGCAAAGGGGCTTGTTTGAAGCTCTAACAAGTTGGCGATGGAAGCCAGCATCATGGGTCGACAGGAGGCGGGCACTGACATCTCAGTACTGAAGGAGAGACGATAGGTAGAGTGGGGATTGACCATGAAGGGCTTTGAAAGTGAAGACAAGTAGCTTATTGCCCTTGGACACCAAGAGGTGGTCCCGTCAGTAAGGTCTGAGTTACAGTGGTAAGATAGCACAACTGTTACCTCTGCCATATCTATCCTGCGGAGAAATAAGGCATTTTAGTCTCCAGAACTGATCATTTGGTACCTTTCACGTGGACCCTGGCCTGGGAGAACAATGAGAGATCCTGTTCCTCATGGCAAATTCCTCTGTGGGATCCGTGACTGAAGCAGTTCTAGAATCACATGGAAATACAGACTTCCTACCCAGAACGTTCTGTGCAGGCACGGGTGTGAGTGAGGTTAGGATGTTTTCATGAGCTCTGCTCATGAGGAAGGCTAAGATTTTGTCACGGATATTTTTAGTAAAAGTGAGGGACAGGTCACGGGCAATAATGAAAAATTCACGGAAGTCGTGACCTGTCCCTCACTTTTACTAAAAATATCCAGGATAAAATGAGAAGCCTGGGCAGCTGCGGGGGTCCTGGGAGCTCCAGAGACCCCCTCTTCTGGAGGCTCCGAACTCGGGAACTCCAAGGGTCCAGCGGATAGCTGTGGTGGTTTCCGGGCCATCTGGGGCTGTGAGGAGCGGCGGAGGCCCATGGCAGCGGGGAGCTCCGAGGATGTCCCTGCCGCCCACGGCAGCGGGGAGTGTTGGGGATCCCCCCTGCTACCCGCGGCGGCCAGGAGTGGCGGGAGGTCTGCCTGACACCGGTGGCGGCAGGGGACCCTGCAGCTCCCAGCCGAGGCTGGCTGAAGTCATGGAGGTCTTTGGAAGTCATGGAATCCGTGACCTCCGTGACTAAATCGCAGCCTTACTCACGAGCCACTCTTCTAAGAAAGGGCAGAGGATACGCAGGTAGCCGTCCAGGAGGACAATCAAGAACAAGGGGAAAATGAGCTGGAAAGCAGGGGGTTCTCCAGGAAGACCTCACTTGGGTAAAGGAGGTGTCTGGGGGTGAGTCAGGAGACAGGTCTGTTAGGTCCTGCTGGGAAGGCAGCGAGGACGCAAGCTCAGGCTGTAGGGGAAAGGTTTATTGTTGCACAAGAGGATGGTGAATGCTGGGAAGGGGCAGATATAGATTGCAGCATCCTGGTGAGAGTGGGAGGAGAGGAAACACTAGCTTCTCCCTGTCACAGAAAACGGCAGCTTCCCTGTAAATAACTGAGGAACATTCAAACCAAGCAAAACTTTAAGCTAGCAAACAAGAAAAAAATCTCTGAAAACTGCGCCTGTAAGTTTGGTAATGGAATATCTCACCATGAATGGTGATCTCCGTCAGATCAGTGGCAATGGTTACGGTTGGCTTTCAGTCATGAAATACCACTCTGGCAGAAACAACGACCATATTTCAATGCGGTTTAATAGACGTATGGTTGAATCTGCTTCAACGCCAGCAACTTACATCTTCATTTGCAACCTATTTTCAGAGGAATGATTACATGGTTTGATTTAATAAATTGGTAATTAGACTACTTTGCAGTTAGCCTTTTATGGAATAATCAAATGACACCATTGCTGGTACATTATTCCACTAGAGTAATGAAAATCTAGCTAAGAAGAACGGAAACTATTTACCTGTAATTGCTGTTTTCTGAAGGTTGTTCTCATGTACACTCATACTCCCACCACTGGTGCGTCTGTGAATATAAATATTCCATTGCACAGTTTTCTAAAAAACATTAAAGTGCCTCTCCAGACGGTGGTGCGTGCCTTTCTACTACTGAGGCAGAGTCCTTGTTAGAGCTGGTCAACATTTTTTCCAGTGGAATGTTTTTCTGTCAGAATTGAAAGTGTCCACACAAATGTGTTGATTTTGACAGAATTTCATTCACATTTTTTAAAAAAAGATTTAATAAAGTCCTTCTCG